GATCAGAGCATTTATTTTTTCTGGGATAAGCAGTGGTGATTATTAGGCATCTTCCTTATTAAAGAAAAAATAAAACCATTTTAGAAAGCAAACAGAATTGTTATTGGGAGAAAATCAACCTTTGGATTAAAAAAAAAAAAAAGTATCTCTAGGAGTATTTCAATCCCTTCCTGAAATAAAAGTATACTTTTCTTGCTGGCAGAAAAATGAAAATTAGCAACTTCTGTCATATAGAATATATAGTCAGATTGTTAGTATACAGAATATATTATCAGACAAGATAGGAGGCATAAAAGTTACTATTGCTTACAATTACAAACGAATATCAGTTTAAAAACTACTATAGTAAAACATATTCTGAATGCAACTTTTTTTGTCCCCTTGATACCACAGCTTTCTCCTACAATGCATTCTACAAGAAATTTAAGTTACTAAAGACAGGTCTTGCATGTTTTTACTCTTCTGTGGGGGCTAAATATTAAAACAATTGATCTCATGGAGACAGAAAGTGGAATGATGGTTGCCAGAGGGTGGGAAGGGTAGCAAGGAGGGGAGAGATACAGTGGGGATAATTAATGGGTGCAAAATATAGTTAGATAGAATGAACAACATATGATAGCACAACAAAGTGACTACAATCAACAATAAGTTATGGAGTTACTTTAAAATAACTGAAAGAGTGGAATTGGAGTATCCCTAACACAAAGGAATGATAAATGCTTGAGGTGATGGATACTCCAATTATCCTGATTGGATTAATACACATTGTATGCCTGCATCAAAACACATGCACCCTACATATAGAAATATTATGTACCCTTAATAATTAAAAAACATTTTTAAAGAAATTTTGGCAGTTGATGTGTAAATGTTAATGGCAGGAGAAGTTATGAGTTGAGTAATTGTCTGATAACGATTTCCCAAATAAAATATTACCATGGCTAAAGTATTTGAAAAATTAAGCCTGTGTCTGGCTAGAAGACAAGCATTTATTTGCACATGAATAGTATTTCAAGGGTATGTAAAGTTGCAGAATTCCTACTAAACAGTTTAAATTTTTTAAAACGAAGAAAAGAATTCCTGCAGCAGTTACTCCTTTATTTGAAGGCATCAATCATTCAGCTCAACAAAGTTATTGCTACTCTGGGGAGAGTCTTCTACCTACGTATAGCCTGAAGAAAATGAACATAGCTTTTAAATAAATTATCACCTATCCGGAAGAAGTGATATATTAAATGGAAATGGATGTAAATAAAATTCAGTTCTCATTAAAAAAAAAATGATAAACGAAACAAATTGAACAAAAACATTTTCATTCCTAACCTTATCTCAGCTTAGAAAAAAAGGGGCTGCATTTTTTTTTTTTTTTTTTTTGAGACGGAGTCTCATTGTGTTGCCCAGGCTAGAGTGCCGTGGCGTCATCCTCGCTCACAGCAACCTCAAACTCCTGGGCTCAAGCGATCCTCCTGCCTCAGCCTCCCGAGTAGCTGGGACTACAGGCATGCGCCACCATGCCCGGCTAATTTTTTCTATGTATTTTTAGTTGGCCGATTAATTTCTTTCTAATTTTAGTAGAGACGGGGTCTCGCTCTTGTTCAGGCTGGTTTCGAACTCCTGAGCTCAAACAATCTGCCCGCCTCGGCCTCCCAGAGTGCTAGGATTACAGGCGTGAGCCACCGCGCCCGGCCAAGCATTTTAAGTTACTAAAACTTACAGTAAGGGCAAAAAAGGAAACCATAACAAACTAATAATTAAAAAATAGAATTTCTCAAAAATCAATAAAAGTAGACAAGAACTTTACATAGCCTCAAATCCTGTTGTCCTAAGCCTAAAAAAATTTGTTCCACTTTGAATATAACTTGCCTGTCTTACTATCTGACCTTAGGGAAAGATTAACAGAATGATTAAAGCATGTGTGCATGGTGAGGAGGAGGTGGGCAAAGAGGCAGAAAAGGGGCCGTCTGTTATGTGCTATATCTCTGTGCTCAGTCTGAACCACTACTGAGCCATACTTCTCTAAATCCAAAATCTTCCCCATTTCCCTGAATCTCCACAAGCGCCAAGCCTGTGTTCAGACAAATGACACTCAACAACCACCTGTTACCTAAGAACTGGTATACTCACTCTTGGAAGTTCTTCCCGGAGCCTGTAAGAGAACTCAACCTTCTTTTTTCTTTCTTTTGGGAGCCTAGTGCCTTCCCCCTTCATTCTCATTTCCAGTCTTAAAGGTTGAGCAAGCTGGAAGGAAGGTGTTGGACGCCATGAGACCCATCACTTCTGAGGTGGGTTTCAGCTGCAGCCAACTGTTAAGGAATGCTGGGAGATTCAAACAGGTGAAATCACTTCTCGCATTCAGGAAGTGAGCTCACACAAGCAGCTCCGTTGCAGGTTTACAGCCTACGTTATAACTGACAGTGATGGTGCGGGGAGGAAAAAGAACAAGATTTTCTCACAAAACTCTCATATTATGTCTATTTAAATACTAAATTCACCAGCATTGGATTATTATAAAATAAATGGATCAATAAATAAAGAAATGATGTTGAATGGGGAGTCCGGCCTGCTTGTTTTCCTAACATTGTAGTACCTGACTA